GAGTGTGTGTGCGTGCGCGTGCGTGTATCTGTGTGTGTGTGTGTGTGTGTGTGTGTGTGTGTGTTTGTTTTTAAAATGTAGGTGTTTTTTTAAAGCTCCTATCGACACCGATGAGATAATTTAGGAGGTGAGAACGGACCTTGCTTGCCAGTGCCAACCCTGGCTTTGTGAGGATGCAACATCCCCGCAGGAAGACCGAGATAAAAGATTCTCGGGGAATCAGACTGGGGGTCTCATGTATATTGTCCAAGAGGACCACCTGTCTAAAATGACCACTTTTCGCTTCGGCAATAGGTGATCGTCTTAGACGATTTCAACTGTATTTTGTCAAATAAGGCGTTACACTCTTTAACAAAACAGAAGATAAATAAATAATCTTTAGTTTTACTTTAGTTTGGCAGCACACTGTAACATAGATAGATAAACACGTGCCGGCGATTTGAGGTGTTATTTGAGAGTAACATACACGTAAAGAAAAGGAAGAGGGATAAAACGGCAGATGTTTACTTTTTTTAAAGGAACAAACCATACCGGAGCACTCGCCAACCACCCACGTAAATCATGGGGTGAGTAACTCGAGAGTCAAGGAATGAATCAAGCCCCCGTGTGTTGTTCGCCCGTTGTTAGCTTCTGGCGCTCACCGGGCTATAAAACGGTCTTGTTATAACCGCCGTCTAATTACGCTGTCAAGAGAAAACGGAGCCAATAAGAAGAGCCAAGGATTTCGACCCGAGTCTGTGACGCACATGAGCTCCGGGAGGAAAAAATACACCTCAAAGTAAAAATCAATGGATGCTCTCCAGACCTGGGCTGGGCAAGAAATCCCGCGTAGATTTTTAAGCCGCACTGGAAACAGAACACCATCCATAGTGATATATTATATCGCCAGCTGAGGCGAATCCCATTTACAGACGGACAGACGGATCTGATTGTCTTCCCCTATTTTGTTTGTTTTTTATGATTTATTTTCTTCCTTTGTGACTATCTGTTATTTTATTTTTTTTAAATTGGTAGCGGAAGTTTGTTATGAATCCGACCTAGAATTAATATAAAGCGTCTCAACATCTTCCTTCATTCACTGGAGGCGGACTGAATTAAAACAGCCTTGTCTAAGTAGAAATCACCCGTCCCCAAGTCAATAAATTAGTAAGATAAATGAATACACAATAAAATAAACATCTCTTCTTCCCAACAAAACCCGGAAAAGCCAAACAAACCATACCCC